GGAATGCCCCCTGGATGCTCATCAGTATTGACAGCAGCTGTGGCTCCTGACAGGAACAGGAACATCCCATTGCTGGGGGAAGTGAGGTCTTACACAAGCACTGTAAGAGAGCAGGAACATCCTTCCCCCCTCCTCTCGATACTTCTAGGGACAAGAGGATAAATGTAGATCAGTCCATGAATCTGAGTTCCCCATATCATGCCACTAAGGTGCATCGGAGAAAACACAAGCAAGCATAGACACCGAAGCAGAGGTGAAGCTTCCTCCTCCTCTACTGGCTGCTCCATGTAGAAGTCTGTGACAGCTGCTGGCTGAGGGAAGTGTGCCCTTAGCCTAAGCAGCACAGGTCAGAGGCTCGAGCCCTTCTGGCTGCTCCCGCACTGTAAGACTAAACTGACACCCTGGTTGGCAGCCACAACAGAACAATCTTCTCGTAATCCCTGTGAGGCAGGGGATGGTGTGGGCAAGGGAAACTGACCCTGGCAATGCCCCCACTATACTTGTTTCATCCAGACTGGCTCTCTTCCTGGCACTTCTCAAAAGCCCCTGCTCTGTCTCCTGTATGGCACTAATTCATAAAAACAGACAGCAAAGGAGCACAGGTTCATCTGAAACACCACCACACTCAGCTACCCCAGAGGGAACCCAGAAGTACCAGAGCCAGTTCAGGGCACAGAAGGTGAGAAATTGCTCCAGCATGGCATAAGCATGTGCTTACACTAGGAAATCACCTCACAGTTTAGCTACAATGGTCCCGATCTGCTTGGAGACCCTAGGCTCAGGAGCAGCTTAACGGTAGTAGGAAATAAAGAACATCAGCAAGGAGGAATATAAATAACTGTAGCTTCCCAGTCCTTGAACCATGTATTCCTCTCTCACAATTATTTTTATCTAAATATAAGCCTGTATATGTAGACTAACTAACTACGTGCTGCATGTTCTTCCTAAGCCACAGGGAGAGAAGATGCTGTGATTATGCAGCACTTGCCAACTGCAGATCCTCAAGCAGCAGAGGACGAGCAATGCGCCAGCTTCCAGGCACCAACAGCAAACTGCCCTTTGAGCTGCGTATTCACAGGTGAGGAGGACAGCTCACCTAGCCAGGGTAACACTGCTCTTCCTACGCTACCTGGATGTTCACTGGATGCTATTGCCCCCCATGGTGAAAGGTGGCTCTTCCCAACCCGTGCAGTTGCTTTCATTCCTCCTCGGAACCCCAACCTGCAAGCATGGTATGTGGTGGTAAACAGAGGGGCTTGCACACTTGCGTCCCCTGTGCTGCCCCCTATGCACAGCCCACGCTGCTGCCTGGACTCCAGAAAAGCCATTAGCCAGGGGGAATTGCAGTTCACCTGCAGGCGAAGCTGTGCTGCTATCCAGTCTCCCCTAGTCGGGCAGTCTGCCCTGTCCTCCTGAGCCAACCGTCCGCCAGGGTCAACCCCAGGACTCCGCGTGTCCCCAAGCCCTCTCCCTGCTGCCAGCCCAGCCTTTCCCAGGTACCTGTGCTACCTCCGGGCCACAGGGGAGGCAGCTGGGGGGTCTCCCGTATTCATTTTTACCAGGTACCTCTTCCTATTGCTGCAAGCCAGCACCCGCTCAAGGCAGTGCTTTTATCAAGGCAGGATCTTCTCTTTTCCTCCTAAACCCCAACCAACCCCCTGCCTCGCTGCCGTCCGTGCCTTCCCTCGCCATGCCGGCATCTCTGCTCCTCCCGGGCGCACGAGGCACGAGCTCCAGAGCCATCGCAGCGAGAGCCGGACAGAAACCGGGCACGGGCGGAGAGGGGGGCCAGGCGGAGGGGTGGCCCCGGGCGGCGCGAAGCAGAGCGAGGACACGCGGGCTGGTGTCCCCCGCCGGGGCGCGCAGCAGCCCCTGGGGAGGCACCTGCGCCTGCCGGGTCCCCG